TAGCGATAGCTGCATCTTTGATTTCCGATCGTCGGCGGAGTGCGAAACGACGGGTTCTATTGGCCACTTGCGCGTGTGGGTGAGCTTCCAGCATTACCTTTCTCACGACATGATAATCGTGAATACAGTCGATATTGTCGCAACCAGTCGATTCGGGAGTCGGAAGGCAGGAATTAGCCCACCCACGGCGCTTCCTACAACCGGTTGTCTTCGTCCTGAATCGATCACTAACTGACCTTTATTGGTAGAAGGGCAGCCAAGGATGAGCTCATTTCACCCCTCCCGGCATCACTCTGAGTGATTGCGATGATATCAACTATATGGGTGGCACGCACTGTTCTTGAGAGCACGTTAGGAAGGGCTACGAAATCGGATAGGCAGGTGCGTAGTTAAAGGCACGGTCCGCGATGAAAAGCCTAGGTGATTTGCAGAAATGTGGAAGAAAATTCGCCAAGTGAACCATCTATGAAGAGAAAATGCCAAAGGGAACGTTGGAAACGCATTCGTCAGGCCTCCTCTAGCCTCAAACAACTGTAGAGGTAGAGGACGATTCCCGTCGGCTGATTCCCAGTAATGAACCCTATGACTCTACAAGAGACACTGAATGCATCCACTCCATGATACTTGCCCGGGAGCATTACTTTGGCTGGAAGGCCGACTTTGGAGGCGGAGTCTGGAGGCGGAGTCACTGGAAAAAGGGATGTACCACTGAAGCAACTTTGCGCCTTAATCCCTTTACCGTACAACTTTCCGCCGCGAAACTGGCACAGGGTTGTCCACTCCGGACCGCACTACCTTCCCACATAACCTCTTGCATTTTCATAGGTCATCGCGGACCGCTCCTTTAAGTACAGTTTCTTCGCTGCGGACGCTGGGGCGTTTCAGGGGCTGGGTTTGGCGGGTGGCGCAGTTTTCTCCACAATCGAATGGAACGTGGCAGGGACGGCACAACGGAGGAGGCGTCGGCGCCGCGCCAAACACAGTCCACCTAAAACGCTCCCGCCAAACATGACAGCATCTTTGCTCTTCTTGGCGCTTCTTCGCACCTTACTGGAGCCTCCATGGACACTTCGATTAGCACAGTTGACATATGCTTTTCCACAAAAATTAGACATTCTGCTGATTAGTCAACTATCAGTTAAAAAACTCAAAAAAAATAATATTAGTCAAAGTAAAAGTGAGGAAAAGGACTAATCACACTGGAACTGCTTAAAGCTATTGGCAATCGAAATTCTGGCATTTATTACCGCTGTTGATCGATTTTACTTGAGGTCGACGGATTGGACATGGCTTGAGTTAGGTTAAACAACTGTCCCGGCAACCATGACGTCAGCTCCGTAAAAATCTAGGATCTCCGCTTGCTTTTACCGCACTACTGCTAGCTCATCTGATACAGCAGTACCGTTCAGAGATGTCCCTTTGGCGTGAATGGGCCACAGACAACAGTTCTTTCTCATAAACGCTGTTTTCATTCTAAATGACGTCAATTCTTTTTGACTTTTACAAGAAAAGTAGCAAGCAACCAGCATCAGTCCTGCTTGTTCATTGCTCAGTATTATGAGCACGATGTGGTCAACAAAACGGAGATGCCGTTGTTGTCAGACATCATTCTTCACTCCCATGCGTTCACATTCTGGTTGACGAATGTGGTTTTTGAACGCGGCGTTGAAAAATTTGGGTGAAATGTGGTCCTGTCGGATCCCCTTTCATCAGGTCGACGATGATCTAATTGAAGAACAGGAATGCTTATGTAAGAGAACATACTGGTTTAACTATTCTCCAATGACCGTTTCTATATTAAAGGTACGGTCCGCGATCAGGTATCGAAGTTGAAAATATGGCGTCAGGAGGTTAGAGTGGTCCGCGACGAACAACCTTGTACCGGTTTCGCGGCAAAAATAAGGGAGGGGCGCTGTAGCGCAATATAGGTTCAGTGACGCCTCCTTTTTTCCAGTGACTCCGCCTCCAGACTCCGCCTTTAGGGCCCGTCTTTTAGTGAAAACTGCAACACGAAAAGCATGAAAATCGTCACTTGTACGGTCGTAGAGTTCTTATCGGGGAATCAGCTGTGCGGATGGGGCGTAGTGTTGGAGATGGAGTTAACTGGGCACGTACAAACTGGGATCGAAATGGGGTTCTATCTAGGGCAGTTGGCATGTTTTTTCTGCTTTTTTCTTCACTATCGAGTTACTTAGCACCTTTTCGTCTCAATACAACCCCTAATCCCATTATGTGATGATCGCGAGCTTTGCCTTTAACTCCACAATGACTGTAAATGTAGTGCACGTTTCCTTTCTCACATATCAACAGAATCCTGCTGGTTTTACATAAGGTGGGTACCCTGCATTCTGAAAAGTAGAGAATTGATCAGAACCGGTGAAACACCCTTCACATGCCCGAGTCACATCCTTCTGGACATCTGCTGGACACTAGCGTAGAAACTGAAGTAATTCCAATTCAGGTGGCAGATTTTTGAATTTTGCTGTCTGTGTTTGCATCAAAAAAACAAGGAACCAAAATTTTGCAGTGGTCCCATCAGTGTAGAAGTTTGGAGCAGCAGTTGGGATAGTCCCTTAGCTGATATAGTCTGTCATTGTCTCGTCACGCAGCTCTCCAACAGAGGGCCTGTATTTGGCTCCAAGCCATGAGAGCGGCTCCTGAAACTGCTTTCAGCTTCCTCCTTCACTTCACTTTATGCCTCTGCGTAATATTTTTAGCCTTTTTGAGGACGATATTGGGACGTTGCCAATGAGGACATCGTAATGCTCTTATAACTTATCCTGTCTTTTGAAGAATGCTTGGAACTGATCTTCTTTCTCTCACCTTTCTTCTATCCCGTTAGCGCGTAGGCTGCCCTCAGTTTGGATTATCATGGCGTAATTTTATTATCCTCTTTGGCATAAACAAAATCAGTCACGGGTTGCCTACTACGTATATATAGAGAACTGGGCTTACATTTGGGCTTAGGATGGTTCTATCGCTCCAACTTTCGCCTTTTCCGATCGATAAGGTTACAAATCCCGCGCATTGGGTTCGGGGAGTACCCCAACAAGGGCATTACTTGACCCAGGGAGAGTTGGCCGCAATATGGCCTTTTTTCGAGCTGCGAAATCATTACGGATATTTATTTTTCTCCCTTCATGCGCATCTATTACACTGCCCTTTCTCCATGTTCTATGAGAAATCTAAAAAATTTATGTGGCAAATGGTTAAAAAAGTTGGACAGAATTCGGTGTATGATTATGATGGCACGTTACAATTGAGGAAACGGGGTCGTAGAGAGGAGTTGCATTCCGGGGCAGGAGGGGGGGGTGGTCGTAATGGAAGAATCAGGTGGTGTCTACTAGCACTGCCATTCCAATCCGCTACCCGTGCTATATCTGAAGAGCAGATTTTTTGGCGGAAAAACGCAGGCCAAAACATTGGTAAAGTACATGCACTGAAACCTGCTACACCACTGGTGTGCAATAGTAACCCTGGCACGAAGTCTTTTTATTCTTTTTTGTACCGACAGCATCATTTCTGCCCTTCCGCCAAAGTCCTCGATCCTACCTCTCCTACCGAAATTCGGAGAGATTACATTGTATGATGGGGAACTTTCTGAGAAGTAGGGTTTCTGATAGGCATTAGAATGCGTGAATAACATTCGCGGTTTCAAGGCTTCGATGAGCTTGTTCGAAGTTTGTGCTGCAATGGCCGTTCAAAGAAACATTAGATTCTCTGATGAGCACCTCCGACTGCAGTGCAGCCTTCCATTATCTAACAAAGTCCGTGGTGTCTGGAGCGATAGACCAAAGATTTACCCAGCCTTTGTTCGCACACGATGTCTGTTATTTCCCACTGCACTGAATGCAACCAGAGCACATCGTACGTTGGGGGATCCCCAGGCGGGTCGTATTTGATTGCGACATGCGGCAAGGAGGGGCCAGGCGAAACTTTTTTTTGATAGTTAATGCTTCTTGCTTCACCGACGCTCTCAAGGGAGGGGGGGTCGTATTTGCCTTTGCGGTGATAGGAGAATTTCCCGATTGTGGTGTTATCGCGTTTTTCTTGTTTCACAACATGTGCCCATTTTCCCCCACCCCCCTCACCTTCCCGATTCAAGGAAAATGCGTTCCAGGGAATTGGTCGTCGGTGTATGGTCAAGGCCAAGCGAGGTCGTATCAGAGCAGGGAAACCAGGAAAGGGGGAGGGGGGGGGTCGGGTTTGTAAAAATTCTGTTCATAGCGGCAGGACGTGCCTTAATGCCTACATTTACTCTTTCGTACAAACATTTCCGAACTAATAAAAGAAGCGGAGTGAATACTGCTCTAAATAGGACGGGCTAATAAGTGCTTTGTTACTGTCATTTGTTCTGTACTTACATTACTTATTCAGAGGGGGGATTCTGTGAGGATTTTAACTACGACTTTTCCGAAGGATTTTCCGTTTTCCCCAGACAACCGCACCGCTCTAACATCCATCAATACCAATGATGCATTTATACCGGTCAGTTGTGCTAGATCCCTTCCCTCGGGAGCTCCTCAGACGAGCCTGTCGCTCGGGCTCGATCCACCCGAGACAAACGAGTAATGCGTGTAGAGCACCTGTCCCAGTGTCTTTATTGTAATGGCTCATCGGCACGTTCCTACTTCACAGCGAAGTCGCTGCCTCTTGACCCCAAGTCTGACTTCTCCATCGACTAACCTTTGTAAAAGACTGTGTCTAACACTTGACAGCAGTTGCTTAAACACTGCTCCATGTAGCTGCACTTTCAGTGACAACGAAAGTCGGGGGAGCACGTGGGTAACAGAGAGGATAGAGAAGTAGGGATTTACTCCCAAACAACGACCACGTTTGCATCAGACGGCTGCCCCGAGAGGGCGTGGCCATTGGCGAGGTGCAGTCGGTTGGTCGGTCGCTGACGGCATTCAGCGCTGTCTCATACTTGTTCATTCTTCTCCTTTGCGTCGGTGATTTTGCCCATTGGCCTCTCAGAACCTCAGGTAACCCTTTTCAGAATGACGATAGATTGCGTGTCACTGCGCCCTATGGAAAGCGACGGCTTCCAAGTCGTCACTGAAGTCGTCACTCACAAACTTAACCATATTCCCATTTTCAAGGTCAGTTTAGCTTTTCCTATTGTCTATGAAGCAGAAAGAAGCTGATACTGCCGAATTCGCCCTGATATTCTCAAGGAGGAAATTGCATCATGAATGGCGTAAATGCTCTGCGATTGCATCATTCGCCACTAGAGGGCCCAAATATGCCGCACGCATGAAATCTTCTCGCCTCGAAGTTGAGGAACATAGTAAACCTAGTCTCCCTGAACTTTGAGGCGAGAAGATTTTATGCGGAACCTTCTTCTGATCTTGTTTACAAGGACAGCATTATTCTGCGGTAGCCTTCGCCGAAGTCCATGGTCTAACCTTTCCTACAGGATTCATAAGTGATCACATAGGCTAAAGAGAACCTAGTCTGTCCACTAGAAGGAGCAAAAACCTTTTGTATCACCTCCACGAGCAGAAATCGAAGATTACCATTTTCAGGGTGACTTCGCCTCCCTGGCACCAAAAGTCCAGCGCTTCGTGGCCGAGAAGGCCGAGTTGATGAATCCTGCCGGTATCTACATCTGCGACGGTTCTCAGAAGGAATACGATGATATTGTCGATAAGCTCGTCGAGAGAGGTGTACTCACACCCCTCAGCGCCTATGAGAACAAGTGAGTTAGAGAGGGGACTTCCTCTTTTACCTAGGAAGCTACTCAACTTTTTCTACTTCTTACATCAAGCAGTCTGAATCGTAGCGACTTAAACGGGAATTGGTCGCTCACCCTTCACTGTTCCTCTTGGGCTGTAGGGACGGACTACAGGGGAAATCAGCGGTACAGCTTACCTTTAGTTGAGAACGCTTATTTAAGATCTGATCTTGAAAGCGGATGTTTGAACTGATCCTCACCAATTAAAGGATAAAGGATAGATCCCTTTGTGGGATGCGGTACGCATTCTACTCCCATTCAGAACCCATACAGAATCGTAGTGGCTAATGCGCTGTGGCCTACACAGTGACTTGCAGGAAAACGATGAAACAAGATTACGCGTCCGGAAGGTAAAGACTAGGCTTGGTTGGCATAGGCAGGAGTCGACCCGGGATTTGAACCCAGGACCGCGCAAGTGGTAAGCGAGCCACTTGTCACTACAGTACCTTCGCCTCCCTCACCTGTTATATAAAAGGAAAGAAGGGCCCATTAGGCCCATATGAGCTGTTTAGCCCATTATATTGGGACATTATTTTCTGAGCATTAGCAAGAAACAGGTGGCGTTTCCGCGGTAAAGCGCAGAAAGGGGGACAGGCTGGCTGCTTGTTTTGCCAAGCCTAGCTCCACAAGGGTATGGCGCAGTCGAACCTATTTCTATGGGACATCTCCAAGGCTCATCTAGTATCTCCATTACTTTATGAAGTCGCTGAGAGTCGCTCTTCCTACCAATATTCGCAAAAAAAGGAAAGAAAAAACCTTAGAAAATGCTAGAAAGTTAGAAAATTAGACTTTTTTCCTCACTACGACTTTGCCTACCTCACGTTGATAAATCCTCAGCTCAACTCTCAACTCGTTTCCTGGGAAATTCTCTTCCCTTCTTTCCCTTCCATCGAATTCCGCCCTTTGGTAAACATACTACAATTTGTATTCACCTAGTGCAGTAGCAGTACCCTCTTGTATGTACTCTTTCCTTGCGCAATCACAAATGTGTCCGAAAACATCGTGAAAAACAAGCTTTAGGGGAAGAATTCTGTTCTGCGACAACAAATTGCTGCTCACAGCTTATATGGAGAGTACGGAAAAAGTTCGAGCTTCATGAATTTCGCTAAAGAAAAGGATCAAAATTTCACCTAGTAACTTATCAACTGGTATCTTTGCAAAGTAGTAGCTTTATCACGTGAACACGCCACAAACAGCAACTTTGCGCTTGATAAGAGGCTTATGGCCGAGTTCGCTTGTTGGCTACTCTAGTAAAAAATCGGCGCATACTTGAGTCCACTAACAGTCCCCAGACAGACGAATTCGCTTTGGGATGAGAAAAGGGCAGGCCATTGTGATGAGAAAAACAGTTCGTCAACACAAGCACTTTCTCCTCCAGATGCAC